GCACCCCCTGGGGGCCCTTCCCAGCCTGGCGGGCATGTGCGGAAAACGCCTGTATAGGGCAAGGCGCCATGCCCCAGGAACTGGGTCTGTTGGGCCGACAAGAACAACACGTGCAGAAGAGTCAGGGGCCCATGAAATGCGACAACTGAAAATGAACTCGCGTGGCTCGGGGCCTGCGCGAGGGAAAGCTGAGAACAGCGGGAGCTTCGGCTGTTCTCTCCCTTGGGCCTGTGGAAATGAGAAACGCTTCCCCCTGAATCCCCAGCTGCCTGCCCGTCCTTCTGCCCCTCCGCTGCTGGTTCTGCTCTGCTCTGAGCCAGGGCCAGTTTCCTCCTCCTGCACAAGGTGAGGCCTTGGTTTCTAGGAGAAAATAGCACTCGCCATCCCTCTGCAGCTCCACAAAGGAGGAAGAAAATGAAAACCGTCAACAGCAAATTATCTCCCAGCAAGAGGCGCTGCTTACACCTCAGAGCTGCCCAGAGGCATTTCTTCTTTTCTCCGTGGGAACAGGTAGGTCTTAAAAGTACAAAGTGAAACTTGCAACAGGGGTTGGGGAAGTGGGAGGAGCTTGGCTCCATCTGTTTCTTTAAAACCGTTGGTTGGTGGTATTTTCTGGCTTCTCTTGGGTAACTTTATTTAAAATAGAAAGCCAACCCCCACTTCCTGTTTCCTCTTGGTCACCCCTACCCCCACAGCTCCTGGCTCCGAGACCACCTCCCACCCCCGCAAGGACTGCAGTAGAGATAGCCTTGTAAACAGCCCCCTGGGGGCCCCTGGATCTCCCAGACAGGGAGGTGACAGGGACACATACCCTGTGTACCCCACCCCTGGAGCTGGACACAGCAGAACCGCAGGTCTGCCTGACTCAGGGCCAGCCCCAAGCATCTGCAGCTCTGCCCTTGCTGTCCCTAAGAAACTGTCCACCAATGTGTCTCCTTCCTGTGCCACTTGATAATCTGGCCGGGAAGGGGACACTGCGGAAACTGCACCCGCCCAGAATGTGCGCCCGTGAGGCCACTCGCCGGGGTTGCTCAACTGACTGTTGAGTGACCCAGAGAGAATCAGGGAAGAGCAGCCTGCCCCTGCACCCCTCAGTGTGGAGCCCAGCACACCAGAGCCTGGTCCTGGGTACCCAGACATCTCCCAGTGGGAGGAGCTTGGGCTATCTTCAGATCCCTCCAGTGCTACTCCTGCCGGGCAGGGCTCACTGTCTCTGTGCTCCAAGCAGAATGTGGCGGCCGCGCTGGACAGCAGCTTCCTCTCAGAAGGCAGTGACAGCTGATGGGCAGGCACGGCCCACCGTGCCTCACCCCACCCCCACTCCCACCCCCGCGCTCCAGCCTGTGTTCCGCACTCGCTTGTTCACAAAACACTTGTGGCAGCGTCACAGCCACATATCGCACATCCCAGGCTGGGGAAGCTAAGTTGGGGGGACACGATCCGGCCAGGGAGGCCCCTGTCAGGGAGCTAAAGAGGGAAGCCTGGCAGCAGAGGTGAGGCGCTGCGGGCCTGGGGGCAAGTGCAGGCTCAGGACAGGCGCAGGCGCGGGGTGTGCTGCCCACGCCGGCCCTGTGTGTTACTGCCTGTGACCTCTGTATGCGTTACCAAGAAGAAAGCCTGCACAAGAGACATACTCTTGTAAGACTTTCTTCTTGTTCAGACTGCCCAGTTCTGAGGCTGCTGCGTGGCTCTGTAATTACTGTCTTGACCTAGTAACGCCAGAGCGGGGCTGAGCATGAGGATGCCTGGTGGTACCAAGCTCCACGACCCTTGATCCAGTCCTGTACCTGTGATCACGTCCCGCTAGCTAATCAGAGCACGGGCAGCTGTTCCAGCTCCTGCCTTGCGTCACATCCAAGTGCTAACCCACAAGCCTGGAGGCCTGGCTGTGCTGCTGGGAGTGGTCGCAGCCAGGACCGTGAGAAATCAAGCTGCTCACTGCCTCCAGACTCCTGCGTGTTGTTCCTCTCCTGCATTAAGGTTTGCCACAACGTTATGTCACCCTGAACCTTAGCTTGGGGTCTTTAGAATTGGAGTAACTACTAGGGCTTGCCTCACAGGGTAGTGAGGAGTACATTCAGGCATGACGGCGCAGGCCTGAATCCCAGCACTCTTGGGAGTCTGAGGCCCGAGGATCAAAAGTCAGAGCCCAGCCTGGGCAACTGAATGACGGAGTGAGACATCCTGTCTCACCAAGACAAAAACCAACAACAAAATGGCTGGGGGCATTCCTCAGGACGAGGGCCCTGGGGTAGATCCCCAGTACTAAATAAAAAAGAGAACTCCAAAGAGAAGCCACAGCAGACCGGCATACTGCAGGCGGGCGAGTGGACTTCGGCTCTCACCGCAGAGCAGCCCTGTCCGCTCCTTCCAGGAGGCTGCAACTCTGACAGAGGACACGGACAGCGGGGTGGAGGCTGAAAGGGGGAGATGGGGCGAAGCCATCCCGCAAACCAGCCTGGGAAGGCCATCCGGCAGCGCTCAGGGAAGGAAGGCTCCAGCCTGTGACCCAGAATTGAATCAGGTCCCCTGCAGCACTCAGCCGCTGCTGCTGGGATCAGAGCCCGTGAGCCAGAAGGAATCGCAGGACCGTTTGGTCACTGCGCCTGGGGCCACCACCATCCCAGCCGCCCGCCTTCTGCGCGGTGTAGACGGAGCCGCACTCGGGCCAACACACTGTCTCAGCGTCCGAGCGAGGCAGGCCACGTTGTCGTGCGGTGACGTGTTGCTGACGTGCTGCTGACGCCGACTGTGCTGCTGACAGGGTCTGCTATGATTAGGTCTTTGCAATGCTGTGGTTTCAGCTGATTGACTCCTTTTTCAGCCTGCAGGAGATAAACTGCTCTTGCCCTGGCCTGAGGTTAAAAATGCAGCCTTCAAGACAGACACCCAGCAATGAAGTTGACACAGGGCAGAGCAGATTTCCTATCTTTGTATTAGTGTATTTTGTAGCCTATGTGTATTATTTTGCCCCCAACCTCCCAAACAAAGCTGAGTATTACTTTCTTGCCTCCCCCTCTCTCCTGTAGGCTCAGTTGTTTTCATACGGAAGCCAATAACTCAGTCTCCTCTGTGGACAGCAGGTGGCATGAAGAAGTGGGGAGGCGACCCAGGCCTGGTAGTGTAGGTCTGTAATCCCAGCACCCTGGGAGGCTGAGGCAGGAGGATCATGAATTCAGCCCAGGGCTGGCAAGATAGCTCAGTGGACTAAGCGCCTGCTTAGGCAAACTCAGGGACTGGGCTTCCATCCCTGGCACCATATGCCTCGCTGGCCCCATCCCCGTCCTCAGGCTTGCTGAGCCCCCACCCCACGCTGAGGTGGCCACTGAGACAGGGCATGGTGACATACACCTGTAGTCCCAGCGCTGGGGAGGCTGAAAACGTGGCTCACTACAAGTCCAAGCTGTGTAGTGAGCTCCTGTACCAAATACATAAAAATAAATAAATAAATTTCAAGCCCATTCTGGACAATTTTAGTGAGACTATCTAAAAATGAAATATAAAAAGGGGCTGGGAATGTAGCTCAGTACAAAAGTCCTGGGTTCAATGATGATAAAAACAAAAACAAAAACAAAAAAAATGAGGAAGTCACTGCAGCGCAAGTGACCAGGATCCTGGTGACCTGCAGAGAACACACCGACCCAGGCAGCATTTAGAACCCCAGCTGGGGTCTTTGCCAGTGAGCACGTTTCTCTGCCCTCCACCTCCCCCACATTATTTCTAAGTAAGGCCGAACAGCCCCAGAAGGAAATGCTTTTACTTTGGTGACCTGAGACCTTTCCTGTTGCTTCAACGGCAGTTGGGGTCACCAAACCCTTGTGCGCATACAGGTTTTGTCCCCGTAAAGTTGGGTCAGTCCGCTAAGCCCTCGGCCAGGCCTCTGGAGGTGGCTCCTCTCCCCAAGCTGGGATCAGGGAAGCAGTGATTCACCCCGAGGTCTGCATTAGCTCAGGTGCCATGGCAACGAGACGCCGCATCCGGAGCAGATGGTACCGCAGAATGCACAGCCCGCGGGCAGGCCAGCAAGCCCCTCACCCAGCAGGCTGGGTCCGTCCAGCTGGCCGGGATGGCACCTGGTAACTATTTACATGGGGTAAACACGGACAGCCAGCAGGCCGCGAGGGCCTGGCTGAGACACGGGGGTGGGAGGGTGCGTGGGGCGCGCTGCGTCTGGGAGGGAGCAGGAGGCCCCCAGTGCCTGCGGACAGGACTGCACGGCATGCTGCGCTGTCCTCACTGGGGCTGGGAGAAGTTCACCAAGTCACCGCTGTCACAGGCTGATCGCAAGCCCCTCCCCCAGCGGAGGCCAGGGAAGCTGTGGGGGGCCTTGCCTGCCTCGACTTTCCTCCCTTTCCTTGGCTTCTTTGCTGTCCTCAGGGTCCACCGCTACCTTGTCAGGCTCACAGAGGGGCCACATCAGAGCCAGGCTGAGGGGCCTCTGTGGGAAAAGCTGTGTCTTCTCAGCTTCACCCCCCACCCCCACACCCCCTGCTGTAGTACCCAGCAGGCGGCTGGGGGACGACCTGAGCTCGCATGACGCAAATGCAGCACTGTGACCTCCCCTGGTGGGGTAGGCGTGGTTATAAAGGCAGGATGCTGGTGACAGAACATTCTGCCAGATATCCTGAGCCCTGACAGCAACAGTGAAATTCTGACTTAGTCAGTGCCGGGTCCAAATGATGTTTCATTTCCTGCTTTAGAATTCTTTCCAGTCACAGGACCCCCCAGTGTCTCCCGGCCCATGACCAAAGTCAGAAAGGAAGGGACACCCTGCCCCCCAGGAGGACAGCAGCAATCACTTGCCTACGGGGCTGGCTTCTCCCCTTCCCTCTTCTCAAGCTTCCCTGTCCCCAGGAAGGGATCACACCGCGCCAGGCTAGATGGGCAAAAGTCCACGTTGGGCTAGAAAATCTGACAAATAAGTGATTATCGGAAACATTTTCCATTATTTTTATTAAGAACCTCACAAAAACCAACAAACCGCTGACGCTAGGGCAATCCCTAAAGCAGAAACCTGCGTAACATGCTGGGATCCCGGGGGGCCATGCCAGGACCCCAAGACTCAGGAGACCAGCCCAAAGTCAAAGGCGTTGGGGCTATTCTGGAAGTAGAGATTCAAGAAGCCCAGGAAAATCTGCTTATCTATGAGCAGGGCACAGACCGTGGGGTCCCGCTTCATTGCTGCTGTCCAGAGGCGCAGATTTGGGGTGTGGTCCATGCAGCTGCAAGACAGAAAAGGGGTTGTGCACACAGGTGGGGCTTAGGGGTCGTGGTCAGATCGTGGGGTGTGCTCCTCATCGCTGGATTAGTTCACTTGTGAATTCATAGCTAAATGTGATGCTAGGAAGGGAAACCTGGTCTGAGGAAGGGGCTCACTGTGGGCACATATGGAAGGGTCTCCCTCCCTCCCCCCTCCCTTGATCCCTCCCTCTGCTTCCTGCCTGCCATGCCATGGACTGTCTCGCCTCGGCCATGCCACCTTTCCTGGGTACCAGCCACTTAAGGACCAAAACCCCTGTAAAACTGAGCCAAATAAACCTTTCCTCCTCTAACATGCAGGTGTTAAGAGTTCTGTCCCAGTGAGAAAAGTAACTGAAATGTGTCCAGGAATGTCCACACTCGGCCATTTCAGCTGCTTTAACCACCATGGCCCTTCCGCAGCATGTGGCTGCCACTTTGATTGGACATTTGAACATCAAGATATATTAATTTTGAAGTCTTTAAGGGTGTACTGGGAGAAGATGCCTCAAGCAAGCTGGACTCAGGAGTGTCACGTCTGCCGGGTGGCACAGAAGGACCAGGTGCAGGGCCAGAGAGCTACAAACAAGACTCCACACCTGGGGGCTGCAACCCTTCCTGCATGCAGGCTCTGCGGCGCTGGGAGGCTCGGTATACAAGGTCTGGCCCAGGAGATGTGGGCACTGTGGGATTCTGGGGTCCGTGGAGAGGAACCCAGGGTCTTGCAAACCAGAAAGCACTTACTGGTGGCTTAGAAACCTGCTTCTGTCTCACATACCCTGTCCACAGGGCTCTCTCACACAAGCCACTTCAGCCACTGTCCCCGGGTGCATTTCCAACCACTTACTCGGCGATCCCATAGACATCCAGCCTCTCAAACCAGGGCCAGAAGAGGTAATCGATCATGGTTATGTGGTCTCCACCGAAGAAGGTGGTGTTCTGACAGCCAAGAATCTAGAAATGCGAACAGAAGAAGAGCGGGTTAATGCACGTTCCTGCAGGGATGTTTAGAGACACTAAATGCAGATGCTAGGTTAATCCCCAAAGAGGGGGCACACAGGCTTTGACTTTTCCTGTCTTTAGCAGACTGCTTCTTCCCTTTCCCTGAAGTGTCCTCCACCTCAAGGACCACACGCCCCTGCTGCCCACATACTTCCTGTCTCCCTCCCTTCCCGCTGCCCTCCGCAGGATGTCTCCAGCCAAGGTGGCCCCGTGCCTCCCTCTGCCTGGCTCCTCCATGTGCCAAGCAGCCTGAGGGTCCACGTGGATGGAGCAGGCGGCCCTGCCGCACGCCGGCACTGCCCACTTGCTGGATGATGCTGAAGCCGGGACTATGAAGCCCTGCTTCTGGAGCTGCGGCCCCAGCCGCCAGCATATTCTTGGTCTGGAGTCCAGCGGTTGTTGTAGGCTCCAAGGCAGGGCGGCACCACCAAGAGCTCAAACCCCAAAACTGCCTTCCAGGCATGCTTTCTCCTCTCTCTCTCTCTCTCTCTCTCTCTCCCTCCCTCTCTCCCTCTTCCCCCCCCCTTTAAATCTTTTATTTATTTGGTACAGGGTCTCCTACACAGCTCAGACTCATAGTGATCCTCCTGTCTCCGCCTCTCCAGCGCTGGGATTACAGTATGCACTCCCACGCCCAGTGCTCTCTTCTTTTGACTTCTTTGAGCTTCATATCTGTTGCCCACTGAACATCATCAACTTTTTACATTAAAATAAAATTTCCCTTTCCCTATTGGAACAAGCCAACCTGGACAGATGGACTGTAAAGAAAAGAGAAAGTCTCAACAGATACCCAGCCAAAGAAAGGACCTGAAAGTTTGTTAAAAGCGAAAGTGCTTGGCAGAGGCTACTGTTGGGCCAGGCTTCCCAAAAGGAATACAGCCAGTTTCCTCATTTAAGCCAGCAGACTCTCACCTTGCCCCATGCAGCACACAGCCCTCTAGGAACCTCACCCCTGCTGAGACGAGAGGGCCGTCCACACAGGAGCACTGTGGGGGTGAGCTCCGCAGGCGTCTCCTCGTGGAAGCATGGGGGCCCTAGTGAGGGGCAGGGGCACCCAGAGTCAAGCTGTAAGTCAGGCTCCTGGATAGGCCCAGCCGTGGCGAGGGACACCCAGCACTGCCTGGCTCTCCACGTGACCACGGTCTTGCCTGGCAGCAAAGAGCAAGCCGCGCAGCCAGCAGCCCTGTTTCTCTGCCGGGCTTGGGCTCTGATGCTCCCCAGGGCCACCCACCTCCCTGTGCTCCAAGCCTCACCCTCTCCCGTCTGCCTCTGAGATTACTGGAAAGAACACAACGAGAAACAGGCTGGCCTAGTGTCAGGTGAGGGCAGGGTCACGTGATGAGCAAGGGCAGAGGTGCCCGAGGAGCCCTCTGCAGAAAGCAAATCCACAGCAAGGAAGGATCCGTGGGCTCCTCTGCCCTGCTGCGCCGCATGGAGCCAGCCCGCAGGGATGGAAACCTCCACCACCTCTCCTTTGTTAGGGAGTCGGGTACAGTGCCTCAGTGACAGAAGTAACTAAGAGGAGCAGGACATGGCTCAGTGGTACACTGCTTGCCTAGGACGTGGGAAACCTTCGGTTCAGTCCCCTCTGGTGCCCACACACGGACACAGACACACAAGCAGCAGTTAATAGGATGACACTAAGAAAATATGAACAATGAAAACGCAACACAGAGGCTGTTCTCTTTTAACTTTTGGCACCAGGAATTGAACTCAGCACCTTGTGCTTCTGAGCTATCTCCCTGCCTTTGTTTGTCTTTTGAGACAAGGTCTTGTTGTTGTAGGTCAGGCTGGCCTTAAACTGTGTAACCCAGGTTGGCCTTGGACTCAAGGCCATCCTCCCCCGTCAGCCTCCCAAGTGCTGGGATTACAGGCGTGCACCACCACAGCTGGCTATGGACACGGTTCAACATGAGTAAGTAAGATCAGACTTGAGGGGAAAGGGTTCCTGGGTCCCACAAGGCCCTCAATATCTTTTTTTAAAAAATTTATTTATTTATTTATTTATTTATTTGTGTGTGTGTGTGTGTGTGTGTGTGTGTGTGTGTGTGACGTCCTGAGATGTGGGAAAGGTCTATTTTTAAATGTTCTGTTCTCCGTGTCGCTGAAAAATAAGGCCGGATGAGGGCTAACTAGGGAACACTGGCAATAAAGGAGGCGAAATCGTTTGATAGAGTGAAGGGAAACTAGTCCCGCTCGCTTCAGACCTGCGAAGCCCGGCCAGAGAGGCCCCTGGCGCCGGCCACGCCTCTCGGACCCCGACTGAGCGACCAAAGCGGAAAGCTGGGCTTTGAAGTTGGCGCGAAACTCCGCGAAGAAGCTCGCGGGGTGCCCCCTGGTGGCCACACGCGGTGAGGCGCCGTGGAGGCGGCTCCTTCCAGAGGACTCCAGAAGAGAAAAATAATCTATCAAGCTGTTGAGAAACAAGATCATAAACAGACCTCTCCTTTTTTTTTTTTAATTTTTTTTTTTTTTTGGCAGAACCAGGGATTGAACTCAGGCCTGTGTGCTTGCCAGGCAAGCACTAATCCTACTGAGCCATCTCCCCAGCCCCCAGACCTCTCTAAAGCAGCCATTCTAAAACAAAATCCCAGCCTAAGATCTTGGACGCCTGGGTCCAGCCTTCATACTTGGCCTTCAAACCCCCAAGCCTCGCCGGCCTTCGCCGCTGTGGCGTACAGGGCCTCGGGTCCCTGAACAGTTGGGCTCCCAGCGGCGCCCCCGCGGCTTGCTGGAGGACGAACACCGCGCGCTTTCTTGCTGGAAGCACTTCTTAGGGAGCAGGCCCCACCCAATCCGAGGACACAAGGCGACAGTGAGGAGCAGTGCAGTACAGGCCTGTATCCGGAAGCCCCTGCGCCGCGCCAGCTCCGGGGAAGGCGCTTAGATTCCCAAATGGGCAGCGCCGCTGTCGGGCCTTCCCGCCGGAGGTCCCTGCGCCAGGCGAGCAGGTCCCTGCAGAGCCCACGCGTGTCGGCGCAGGGTGGGCTGCTGGGGTGCCGCTCCAGGGCCGGCAGCGCGTGGGAATCGGGGGGCCCCGAAAGTGCTATGCGGCACACTTTCAACGGGATTAGTTGTTCTTTTCAAAACATATTAATAAAAGGGTAGGAAATGCGTGACTGTCAGGCCTCTGTAGGCGCCGGCCGCCGGCCACGTGTCCCCAGCGGGCGGGACCTCCTGCGCACAGACGCGGTGGAGAAAGTACGCCAGGAGAGGGGCACTGCGTGGTATTTTAAAACGTCCTACTTCTTTAAACACGAGAGATGAACTGAATTAAAATTTAAAACAGAAGAAAAAATTTAAAAGCAAAGAAACCAAACCCGTCGAGTAGATTTTGTACACGAAGGACTCTTTAAAAAGGAGCGTTGGGCCGGGGAGATGGCTCAGTGGAATAAGTGCTTCCCTGGCAAGCACAAGGGCCTGAGTTCAATCCCTGGTTCCGAAAAAAAAAGGATCGTTTACAGATCATGAGGAAAATCATAGGACCTTGGGAGGCTGACAGACCACGACAGACCGCATGCAGGTGACCCCGCGCTTTGAAGAATCCTCCAACTTCAGGAGCAACCAGAGAAACACGGGGCTGTTGCAGCTCGGGGGTGGGGCGTGGGCCTAGACGTGAAGCCCTGGGTCTGATCCTCCCGCAAGGCCCAAAACAAACCAAAAAATTCATCACAAGGAGTTATTATCTATTGTTCATTTCTCTAGAACAAACAAGCATCTTCTTGAATGAAATATCAAAAGGAGGGCCAGGGAGATGGCTCAGTTGAATAAGTGCTTGCCTGGCAAGTGCAAGGGCCTGAGTTCAATCCCCGGTACCGGAAAAATAAAAAAATAAAAAGGAGACAGTGAAAGGCCATCTTCGTGTAACCGCTGAGAGGGGTAAAACAGGACGAGCGCCTGCGGAGCAGCCCAGAGCTAGCCGCGCACCCGCCAGAGCGCGCACCCTTCCAGCTGGAGATTCCGGGTCACACTGTCAAGCAGAAGAAGTGGACTCTCGGCCCGGAAGCTGCTGTCCCGCGGCCTCACTCATCACCGCGAAGGACTCCCACCGACCTGCGCCGTGAGGGGTGCGGGGAGGAGCCGCTTCCCGGTGCACACAGCGCACGAGGCAGCGCTTCCCGAGTTTCCTGGCGGCGCGCCGGCTGCGCGGCAGCAATCTGGGGTCCGAAGCTGGAGGACTGCGCGTCCAAGGCCGGCCTGGGGTTAGCAACTCGGCAAGCGCACGACTCAAAAGAAAAGGAAAGCAACCTGGGCTTGGGAGGGAAGCTCGGTGCGAAGGCTCTGGGTTCAACCCTCAGTGCCGGGGGCGGGGTGGGGCAGGTTGGCCAAGTTACCCAGCTAGCAGCTGATCCAAATGCCAGCCAGCCGTCCCTGTCAGGGACCGCCAGCGCCTCACCGGAAGGAACAACAGCCAAGACTGCTGCCACCGGACGGGTGCGCTGAGTTAGCCAGGAGTCCAGAAGGGCTGACAGCACGGGGCTGCACAAAGGCTGAGCATTTCGCTCCCAGCTGCATATTCATGATGTCCCAAAGTGGAATAAGCGCCCATCAACCGATGAGAGACTACACGGAATGTGGCATAGCCACGCCGTGGAATATTATGTGGCCACAAGGAGGAATGAACTAGAACTTTAGATACTCGTGTTAAGTGAGAGGAGCTCCTGAAAGAGTGCACATGGTGGGATTAGATGAGCCGCCTCAGATAATTGTATCCGGAGACACAGCGTTGAGGGTGAAGAGGGGCAGGCAGGGGAAAGTTAGCCTCAGGAGCAAGCGAAAAAATACAGGGCTGGGATGTAGCTCAGTGACGCAGCAGAAGGAGTTTCTCTGTGATATGACGAAAATACTGTGAAATTAAATAATGGCAGTGGTTACAGGTACATGGATATAGGAAACCCACCGAACCCTACACCGGAAGAATGTGAATTTCTTCTTAATTTTTTGAAATCTTTTAGTTATTTATTTTGGTACAAGGTCTCGCTATGTAGTTTGGGCTCATGGTGATCCTCCTGTCTCGGCCTCCCCAGCGCTGGGATTACAGGTGTGTGCTACCACGCCTGGGTTAGGTGGCCGACTCAGCATGCGGTACCAGGGATTGGACCCACGTCCTTGCACTTGCCAGGCAGGCGCTTAGACTGCTGAGCTATCTCCCCAGGTCCAAGAATGTGAATTTCATGATACATAAATTATGTCTCCATGAAGCTATTGCCAAAGAACATAGTAAGAATAAATGTAATTCATAAACACTGCAACTTAGTTGACAGAAAATAAATTTAGCTCATAGATAGTTTATGGTATATAAAAGAAAAAGTTATTTCTGGTGAAGCATTAGCTGGATAAAAACACTTTTCTTTCTATCTTATAAACAATAAATATCACTAAAATTAAAAACAGTAAGACTGAACCAGGACACAATATATCTAACAGACTAAAATGTCTTTTCTAGAAAGAAGAAAGGACAGATTGAGTAGGTTTTGATAGATTTAATGTATAATAGCGATCGACTTGAGCCCATGAGTTTGAAGCCAGCCTGAACAACCAGTGAACCTGTATCTCAAAGGAAAGAAGAGAGAGAGAGAGAGAGAGAGAGAGAGAGAGAGAGATGCTGCGTGAGGGTTAAACTGAAGAAAGTCCTTAAGCACAGCTGTTCCTGAGTGATGCGCACACAGCGTGGGCGAACTTGACCTTGGTGCCACCCCACCCCACAGGCCGGAAACAGCAGGAGCGCAGCAAGCAGCTCGCAGCAGGCGTGCGCGGAGGAGAGCACCGGGCCCCACGGCCACGCGGGCGCTGACCCCTCCGTGCTAACCAAGGTCACCGGCACCCTCCTCTCCACACATCTGCCAGGGACCAGGAAGGGCCAAGCAACGGCCAGAGAGCGGGTCCACTGCAGTCGCAGGCACCCCGGGTCACAGCAAAACCCCAAGCGCCTGAGAGCTCTGGCCAAAGTCTGACCTTCACCCACCACAAAAATATTCTGAATGAAGTCACTGATGACACAAAAGCTCTCCACAAGGCCCTGCCACCCTGAAACCCACAAACCTAAGCTGAAGCCTGGATCAAGTGCTATTTTGAAATAGAAGAATGAAGAAGAGGGGAGGGGGGAAAGTGTCATTAAGATGGAAGATTTCTTGTCATGTAGCCACATTTGTGCGCTTTTTACGCCCTAGGAGATGCTCCTCTGTTGCCTCTGTAAGGGCCTGGGGGCCTGCCCCTACGTCCTGTCCGGAGCACCAGCCTGGGATTTGAAGCTCCTGGGATGCCAGGGTCTAGCCGTACACTAAGGCTGCCCTCCAGCAGATTTTCTAGCTTTTCTTGAGTCATTAATCTAAAACAGCACACACTTTTAGCTTTCTTCTTTTTTTACGCTATTATTGATTCTTCTATGCATTTTATTAAACATTTATAATTACATTACACGTTTACATACATACTTTTGAGATGGGGGTCTTATGCAGGCACTAAGCTGCCCAGGCAGGCCCCAGCCTGCGATTGGCCTCCTCACCTGCCTCCACCTCCCAGAGTGCTCAGGTCAGATGTGTGCCACCTGGCCCAGCTCAAACTGGACTCTAAAAAAGAAACCTGAAAGCCAGACAGGGCACTTATATTTCAAGAGAAAACAGCTTAAGACTGCAAAACAAGGGCTGGCAAGATAGTACAGCGGACCAAGTGCCTGCTTCGGCAAGCTCAGAGATGGAGTTTGATCCCTGGTCTCACATGTTATGCTGGCTCTGCCCCTGGGTGAGTCTGGGCATGGTGGCGCTCGCCTGTAATCCCAGCACTAGGGAGGCTGAAAACAGGAGGATCACTACGAGTCTGATCTGTGTAGTGAGACCCTGTACCAAATGCATACATATATACATATATACATACATACATACATACACAAGATTGCAAAACAAAAACTGAGCCTTTTGTTTTGAGAGAACATGGCAGATTGCACTTGGAGGTCTTGCCTTAGGCTGGGTATGGTGTCACATGCCTGTAACCTCAGCACTAGGAAGCCCGACGCAGGAGGACTGTTGGGAGTTCACGGCCAGTCTGGGCTGCATGGTGAATTCCAGATCAATCTAAAGTACACAGTGAGACCCTGTCTAAAACAAAAAAACAAAAAACAGAAAAACAAAAGATAAATCTTGCCTCATTTCACTGAGAAAGTGGGCATTTAATAGCCCAACAGAGTGTTGATCATACAAGACTTCATGAAAGAACAGCAAAATTTAGGGGATTGTTCCTATGTAATTATTCTGACAAGTTTCAATTGCTCTAGCTCCTCTTAGAGTAATTACATTGGTATTTAGAGGAATATTTCAAATAATTCAGGTCCACCGGTCATGTTCAAATTCTGCCACTCCCTACCTTGTAACTATATCCTGGTCAACGTTATAAGGGACAAAACCCACAGTGAGCCTCCGGGACCAGGCGATGCCCATGTAAATACCACCCATGACGCGCGCTCACACGTGGGCTGCTCAACGGCAGACGCTTCTGCGGCTCGGCACTACCGATAAAGTGAGGGGCTCTCAGGGCTCGCCGAGCTCCCCAGCTCGGACTGTGCAGCGAGCACGCGCGGAGCGTGAAGCCCACCTCGGTGGGAGGCTTTGGACGCTGAGGGCAGCGTGTGCTGACGGGGACTGTCTCCCGCCTTCCTTCCGTGGGAGCTGAATGCTAAACCGTCACGATGGTCCTAGCGCGTCTACTCCTGAGCATTCTAGCTAGCGCTGCGACCCAGTACTGCCGCTCCCGCCGCGGTCCAGCCCAGCCCTGGATTCATCCATCCTCACCGCGCTCCTTCATGCATCTCCAGCCCAGCGCTCAGCACACCGAGTTTTAAATGCACCTGACAGTCTATGTCCTGCTCCGGGGGCTCGGTATCCGAAGGCCTCTGATGGTTTGTATTCCTACTATTTAGTTCAGAGCCCACCCGGAGGTCCCACTCCAGCTTGCAGAGGACTAGAACACCAGGCCAAGAGAGGCTGCTGCAGAGCCTGAACGTCGAACACAAAGCCCTGGTGCAAAGCTCCTGCGGTGTGACGCACCACTCAGAAGCGGGGCCCACTGCACCTGGAAAGCAATCGGTACTGAAGAGCCACTGTGCCCTGCCACCACTTTATACATACAGCAATCTGCGTAATCCTACATGCGGAGCCCTGCACAGCTTTCTCCACGCAGCAATCTGTCACCTACAGAGTTCCCGCATCACTGAAATGCACGAGGAGGGAGACCCATCCAAATGTGATCCAGTTTTCCTTAAATTAAAAGTTCCAGCAGTTATCTTGTCATTCTGAGAATGAAAACTTTACACTAAGATGGACAGAACCTAAGGAGAGAAAGAATCTCAGCCCCTGCTGAGTTCAGGAGGAAGCTGCCACGCACTACCCTCCCCCAGCTGTGAGCCCAGCTGTGAGCGTGAGAGAATTCACCCTGGAAAGGCAAAGGTGCAGCAGCAGGTGACAAAGCAGCCACTGACCAACATGCTGGCCACGCAAGCAGAGGCCACGGAAGCCGCAGGAGATCCAGAGGGAACTTGGGGATGTAAAGAGGGGAAGACCGCGTGCGGAGGGAAGGGCCGTGAGGTGGCGGGCTCCAGGTGCAGGCCTGCTGGGCTCGCCCACTCTGCGGGACAGGGGCTGCCTACCTCCTCCAGGTTGCAGAACTCCCGCCGCAGGGCGCCCTTCAGGTCAGCATACTCCCTCCCGCATCGCTGAGCCACCAGACACTCCTTGGTCAGATGCGGGATCTAAGCACAGGACACGGTTCTTAGTGAAGAAACCTAGCCCCGCCACGAAGCTAACTCCACCGGTACAGCCCAGCACCCAGCAGAGATGACCCTGCTCAGGGTACAGGGCTCCAGGATACCCAGTGGACCCAGTGACACACCCCTCACAGCACCCAGGCAACCAGGTGGGTTAAGGGGTTCTCTGAGGCTGCTGTTCACATGCTGTGCGTTGCTAGGCAGGACAATGAACCTCGCTAAGCCTCAGTGTTTGCATCTGGAAAATGGTTACAGGCACAGTACCACTCCCAAGGGCAGATGTTGGAGGAAACAAGTTAGCCTCTATAAGGTGGAGCGGCATTTGGCACACCCTAAGCACCCGAGTATGTCTGCTCGCAATATCACGGAGTTGAGGTTTTTTCTTTTCTTTTGAACTACAAATTGCCCATCACTTCTTTCATCAGCAGCTGCGCCATCTCTTCTGTCTTCACACAAGTGCTGCCCTCTTGTCTCACTTAAAGGGCAGCCCCCTCCCAGGACTGTGTGACCTGAAGCCTGGGACATATTTCCTGTGAGGGTCACCAGTTCCAACAAGTCACGTGGGCAGAAGCGTGTCCTACTGACACCGGCTAGGTCTACTGAGCAGGACGGAGAGGCACCAGCAGGCAGCGCAGCCCTCAGCCTCCGCTCTCTGCCGTCAGCCCTACTCTGACTCCACATCAGACTGTCCCGTGTGAAGATGAAACACTGCCCCGTGGCCTGCCTTCACAGTGGGCCGGAGCTTAGGAAGGCGCCCCAGGAAGGGTGTTCTACCTTGCAGAACAGCTCCAGCAACATCTTCTGGCGGGCCCGCTCGTAGGTGTCACCTGGAAACAGCTTCCTTCCTGGGTACGTGTCATCCAGGTACTCGCACGTGATGACTGACTCGAAGATCAGCTGGTGCTGGCTGTTCTCCAGGACAGGAATTTGGCCAAAGGGGTGTTTTGCATAGTACCAGTCGGGCTTGCTTCGCAGGTTGATGTTGATAACTTCATGCCTTACAAAGCAAAGGGGGAGGGAGGCAGAGTAAACGAAGGGTGTGCCCAGGCAGAGGCCCATGTTGAGAGCGGAAGCCAGGATTAAAGTATTTTTTTAAGTTTAAGTTTGTGAGGAATATAGCGCACCACCACCCTCATTCCTGTGGTGAGAGGCGGCAGATGTTCCTGTGCCTTCTGTCCTCCACCCCTCATGGCTCCTCCTGAGGGGGGTTTGCATCCCTGGGAGTGAGATCCATGGGGGAGAACCTCAGACCCCTCACCCGCCATCACACTGGACAGCCTCACTCCAATTTTGCTCAAACCCATCACCCCTCTGTGCTCAGTGGGCTGAATGGTCAAAGAAGGGCAACAATTGTACCCTCTGTTGGCATCTTCTGATGACCAAATAAGCTGCTATGTGTTGTGGTTTGTGTGTGGCTGTCCCCCCCAAAGCCTCATGAGGTCACAGTTTTATCAGAAGGGGATGAATCTAGTGTGTGAACGATCCACAGTGCAGAGCTGCGATCAGGCACAGGTGATGGCAGGGTCAGTGGGCTGACAGGATCAGCCCCACCCTGATCGCAGCAGTCTGGATGCAGTCTAAGGACCACAGAGAGTTTTGTCTCTCTCGTGCTGTTTTGCTGTTTTCTGCAGCCACAAATTGTTGCTCTCTGCCATGTGTCACCCTGCCTTGGAGCCAGCCAACAACGCCTGAAACTTCTGCAAACTGTGAGCTAAGCAAACCTTTCCTCCTCTTACTTTGAGTTTCAGGCATTTTGTCTCAGCAACAAGACAAGTAGCTAAGACACTATGCATAAAATTTCAGAATAATACCTAATACATTATTAGCATGCAATAACTTTTAAGCTCTTGTGACTAATTAGCATTACTAGAGCTGCAGGCCCACGCAGTTACCAGAGGCATGCACATACAGCTAAAAAGATTAAAGGAAGCACACGGGCACGTGCTTGCTTAGTCTAAAAGGAAGCACCACCTGCTGGTGTCTGCAGGCATTCTGGCCAGAATGGGGAAGGGAAAGGGAAGGGAAACACCACTGTGATTCATAAAGGGCAGAAAGGATAGGACACTGCTAAATATTCAACAATGCAGAAGACGACCAAAATGTCAGTATTGCTAAACTCAAGAACCCTTGCCTAATGAAATATTTACATAGGTTCCCGAAGCTGCCAATGTGTTCCCACCTGGGCAATATACTGAGTTTCGGTTATTTTTCTCAAAATATAGGCATCCTTAGGGCCAAGTAGATTTGAACGAAAGGGGAAGAAATATGTGTCATATACTGCTAACAGGGTAGAAAACTTACACGTTCTATTTTGAAACACCTCTATACGGGTCTCTATCCTCCGAGGTGACCTGGCAACTCTGAGCCTGCCCTAGGAGCATTGCCACAAGGCAGAGCGAGCCCGGTGGCACTCTACACTTCAGCCAGTCCCGGCCTCAGTCCACACCCCAGCCGAGCTGCTCCGCTCTCTTGATCCAGGCCTGCGGCAGCTGTTCTCCCAGAGTTCCTTCAGGGAGGCCACGCACCCACATCTCAGGTAAGTTGGAACCTTCCGGTCACCTCCTAAAAGCAGTTCCTTCTAGCTCAATGTTTGCGAAGATTTGGTTTTTCTTCCCACAAACACTTCTGAGTCGTTGGTATGCAGCAGGCTTTCTTCTACCCCACAAATAGAAGAGCTAAATCCCTATCCTGAAGAACTCGCACCTTCTGTGGCGCCGGGTCAGTGTGGGGAGCAGTGAGAGGATCTGAGGGGTCAGAATGGAGCAAAGACAGGTGACCAACTATGAGAATGTCGCTGCGGTGAGAAGTGGAACGTGGCAGAGCTCCGAAGCCTGGATGGAGTGGGCGCTGCATCTGCAGGGGCAGTCGGGGAGGCCCCGCTGCGCTCGCTCCTCGCACACAGAGCTGGGATGCGGGATCCGCTTCGCCTAGGCAATCGCTCCGTTTACTCCGCACTGTCTACCAGGTTGTGCACAACCATGAGGCAGGGAGTCTGCATTTCAAGAAGGCTGACTAAAATAGCTGTCTTTTTGCCAACCACTTACTGACTTTGTCTAGGAAAAAAAGAGACGGGGAGCCCCTTCTAAAATCTGAGAGGGCCCGAGGTTGCCCCAGACCGTGGGGCTTGGCTTGCTGGGGACACCTCGCTCCAGCTCCTCACCTGATGCCTTTGGCCTTGAGGACCAACCGAGTCCTGTGCGAGTAGGGGCAGAACCTCATGCTGTAGATGCGGATGAGTCCCTCGGGAACCGGCCCTGGGGGACAGCTTCCTGCAAGGGGGAGGCGGAGAGAGGGGCTCACCCAATGTCCTGCATCCCAGCAGGGCTCTGGGCTCCACCTCCCACATCCCACAGAGGACACTGTGTGTGTGTGTGTGTGTGTGTGTGTGTTTTGCAAAAGTTCCTCCTTGCGTGGTGGCTGCACGGGCCGGTGTGCCCACCCCACAGTGTCCCTGCCCTCCACACCACTGGAGAGGACTCACCTTTTCTCAAGGACCTGGTTGCATCCCCAGACATGGCCTGCGCTCACAGTCTCCACTGTAGTGGGCTCCAAGGACAGCTGCACACGGCGCCCTTCCTGCCCTAAATGCAGTATTGGATGCTTGGACCCTGGAGGTGCAGAGGGGAAGTGACCTGGGGTAGAAGCTAGGATGATGTAACATGGAAGACAGCGGCACACACTGCCCTGCTGAGCTACGGTCTTGAATTGTACCAGGCAGAAAACAATTCCTTTGTGTTCCCGGGGCTGAGCTCCAGTGCGCTCTGCTTGCAAGAAAAAGCCTAGTGTGTCTCCTCACACCGTTGTTTCCAGGGATTTCCCCACTTGCATTCCCCAGGGGCTCAGTCAAGCAGCTAACAATATTCTTATTTTACAAAATAGAAATCAGCCCCAGAAAAATAAAATCAGGTCTTCAAAGACTGATTCCCTGCTCAGCCTCTAAAGCTGAGGGGAGGTGTGAGTCCAGGAAAGTCCAGAGCACATCCGGCCTCTGGCCCGCCGTTAGTCGAATCTAAATATCTTTTAGTAACATGGTAAAGATTCATATGTGGCTTTCCAAGAGGAACCTTTTGGCTTTGGGAATTCTGTTTTACCCAGAACTCCTTGGCTAGCCGTGCCAAGGCTTTCTCTCTACAGAGTAAGAGTCTCTGAAAATCTTCAGATTTTTTTTTTTTTTTTTTTTCAGAACCAGGGATTGAACTCAGGCCCTTGCGCTTGTCAGGGAAGCTCTTATTCCACTGAGCCATCTCCCCAGCCCCCTGAAAATCTTCAGAGTAGTGATGCTACAATTTTTAATAAACCACTCAATGGTTTCATGAGCTCAACTTGGATAATAATGTAGTATGTGCTGTAGCATTATAAAAACCGAGGAACAGCAAAAACTGTTTCAATAAATGCAGAGATGCTTAAAGTGCTGTCAGCCAGGAATCTGGTTTTGGAAAAGACACTGATTTCTGACTTGCTATGTTGATTACTTTTCTTTTTTTTTTTTTTTTTAAATTTTTTATTTATGTGTGTGTGTGTGTGTGTGTGTGTGTGTGTGTGGCCAGCTCAGCCCACCAGGGGGCGGGGCTGGCTGGCATGTGGTGCTGGGGGATTGAACCGCGGTCCCTGGGCTTTACTAAGCTTGTTCTAAGTAGGTGCTTTAGACCACTGAGCCATCTCACCAGGCCCTACTTTTCCTTTTGGAAGATAAAGCTATAGCTAAATGCTGCTGTGGAGCTGCATGTGACCATGAAAGGCAAACTGGATGGTAACATAGAAGCAAGGGATGGAGCCCTGCTGTAGTAGAGCCCTCAGTAAGTAGATAAGGAGATAATTTGCAGACAGATAGATTTAGCCCTCAAAGAAAGAAAGAACACAGATTTCAAACAGTTGAGAGAAATGCATCCAGGTTCTCACTGGGAAAGGAAACCCACAGAGGAAAGCACAGCACCAAAGTCAGCATGAATAATCCCTAACACATGCTTAGTTCTTCATACCAACTAACCCATTTGATCTTTAAGTTATCCCTATGAGTACTTATTGTTATTATACTTTTTTTGGTACCAGGAATCGAACTCAGGACCTCACACTTGCCAGGCAGGTGCTGTGCTACTGAGCTACATCCCCAGCCCCTACTGTTGTTATACTTCAAAAGACGGGTAAGCCAAGGCCAGGGAGGGTAAGCACTTGGTGAAAGCCTTACAACCTGTGGGGGAAGAGGGAGGACACAGAGCTGGTGCCTGGCCCCAGACAACCCTCTTGACCAGAGCAACGGATTGAAAAGTCAGAAATTTTTTGTCAAATAGTAAATATTTTAGACGTCTTGGGCCATCAGGTCTCAACTATTCAACTCTATCCTTTTAAGGTAAAAACAGTCATTGATATTATACAAACTAGTGGATATAATGGGGATCTAGTAAAACTTTCTTTTTTCTTCTGTATTTTAGGGAAGGGCCTACAGGGTGTTCAGAGTCTCACTACTAGGTCAGACTCATTGTGATCCGCCTGTTTACAGCCTCCCAAGAGCTGGGATTACAGGCCTGCGCCACCACACCTAGTCTCACCAGCTCAACTCGTCCTGGGGGCAGGGTCGCAACAGCAGGCCCAGGGATAGAACCCTTGGTCCCTGCACCTGCTTGCAGGTGCTTTAAGATCTAATAAAACTTTATGGATACTGAATTTAAATTCATATGGCTTTATTTTTAGAGCAGTTTTAGGTTCACAGCAAGATCAAGGAGCAGTTAATGGCGATCTCCCAGATGCGCCCTTCCCCTCCCCACGCACACGCACAGCTTCGCCAACACCGCACCTAGCACGGTTTGCTTGTCACAGTCCATGGACAGATTCCAACACACGACTACTTGAGTCAGTTTGTATCACCATTCATTGCATGAATTTCATAATTTTTCATGTCACATTATGATTTGTATTTGAGTTTTTCAAACATTTAAAAATGTTCTTAGCTCTTTGGGGAGAAAAAAAAAAAGCAGTTGCCGCATGTAGCCCCATGGCCTTAACTCGGCCATTAGCACTGGCTGAAGGGGCAGCCGCCAAGCCCAGAAGGCCATCTGTAAACGAAAAGGCTGCTGTGGCCTGAAGGATGTACTGCCAAGCTTTTCTCCACACTCCTTCTCTTCAACGGACATCAAGCACTGGAGGTGGGAGCTGTTGTTCACTGAGCGTGTGAAGTCGAGTTCTGAGACGCAAGAAGGCGGGGCGGAAGCACGGAGGGTCTCACCACCCTCCTTTAGAGGGAAACAGTAAGTTCAGGGTCTGCCGCCCCGCTCCGGAGCCGGGCGGCTGTGAGCATTGCGGACGCGCAGCCCAGCTCCCACTTCCACCTTCCCTGCCTGCAAGGTGGCATCGTCACTGCAGCCTCCATGAGGGGCTCCTCGTGAGTCTGCGATGAGCCGCATGGGTGTCCAGTACATAAAAGCTCAGGGTACCCCCAAATTAATCAACACTAATGACTAAGAACATGTTTTAATAGCATAGAGTATTCTAGTTTTGTATCCATAAAAATGAAATGTACTATAATTCAGCTTTCCTAAGTATGCTTTAAATTAAAATTCAACCCGTGATATTTATGTTTAATGCCAAATAGAATGAATGTTCCAGGCAACATTTCAGTACATGGCTTTTTTTCCGGGAGGAGGGGGCTGTATTTTAGGGAAGGGTCTACAGGGTGTTTAGGGTCTCACCACTAGATTGGACTTGCAGTGTGATCTGCCTGTTTACAGCCTCCCAAGAGCTGGGATTACATGCGCACACCACCACGCCCAGTCTCAATTGCTGTCTCAGTGTGCCCTGGGGGTGGAGCCAGCACTGTAGGCCTGGGGATCGAACCCCTGGTCCCTGCGCCTGCTTGCAGGCACTTTAATCCACTGAGCTATTTGGCTGGCCCTCAGTACATGGTTTTTAATCTTACCATTGAACACTATATTTTCCCTAGAAAGACTTTAATTAGTAGTAGTACCAGGAATTGAACTCAGAACCTTACGTTTGCCAGGCAGGCTCTTATGTCACTAAGCTATATCTTCTGCCCCTGAAAGGCTGTGACTTTAAGCTTATCCTTAGTTCCTTTTTAAGATCTGAGCGGTAACTCTTTGAATTGCTCTTCGCAAACTCTCCAACCTGTTGCTTCCTGTTTACCCTTGTACTACTGACCCATTTAAGCATATACGAATTGTAAATAGGGCCACAGTAAACCAGCTCCAAGTCAGCTTCCAAACACCCGAAATAGAATCAGATGTTTGGAAAGTGTAAGGATTTTTGATCGTGAGTGACTAATTACTTAAGCCTTTGAAAGAAGGAAGCAGCCAGAGAAATCATGTTCTCACTGTCGCATTAGTGCAGGAGGCAGGCAGTGGAGTCACGAGTCACCGGGTATTCAGTTACTGTTCACTGGCTCAAAGAGTAAGACACGCAGTGGCGCGCTTCTGCAGGCCCAGCGCTCAAGAGGCTGAAGCAGAAGGAGCACCCCAAGGGCGAGACCAGCCTGGGCTACACAGCAAGACCCTGTCTTAAAACAAAAGCAGAAACAAAACAACAACCCCTATCCTCAGATGAGCCTGTGTTCGGGACTTTTTTCAGGAAGTGAGAATTACATGGAATTATGCTCCAATGAAGACACTGGGGACATACTAAATAAGATTACTAAAATCACCAGAAGAGGAACTTCATTTCCCCACTAGGGAAAGTAGGAGCACAGCAGACTTTCTTTTTTTTATTTTTATTACTTTTAAAATCTTTTATTTATGTATTTGGCACAGGGTCTCGCTATACAGCTCGGATTCATAGTGATCCTGCTGTCTCAGCCTCTCCAGCGCAGCTGGGATTACAGGCATGCACCACCATGCCCAGTCTGTGGCCGAGTCGGTGGCTGGTTTGGTGCCCAGGCTGGCACGGCATGTGGTACTGGGGATTGAACTGGGTCCCTGTGCTTGCCAGGCAGGCGCTTAGTCCACTGAGCTATCTCCTCAGCTCCCATGCTTTCTTTATAATTATTTGTTTTCTATCCCTCCTTCTCTTTACAACTTGAGAAATCAAAGAAAAAAAAAGCTTACAGTTTTTACATAATCATGTTGAATAAGCAAAGGCAAATTTTCAAGATTCTGATGTAACCAAGTCAAATATTTTTGAAATCAAACAAAGCACAGTGATTTTGGAAAAGGAACACCAAACTTGTTAAGTCACAGGTGTAGCCCTTGTGGTCAAAGGCTGTGCTGGCCTTCAGTTTCCACAGGGACCTGGCTCTGTGATGGTCCTTGGATGCCAAAATCTGCGGGTGGGAGCTCAAGGCCTTTATGCAGGATATGTCTAACTGCGTATAACGTAACACAGGCTTCCAAGGACCTTACAGCCATGACATACCTCGAATACCTACGATGACATAATGATAAACAGTTCCATTAAATCGCTTAAAGAACAGTGACCAGGAGCAAAGTCTATATGCTCCTTACAAGTGCAAGATTTTTCCAAGTATTTGATCTGAGCTGAGGCTGGCTGAACCTTTTAACATGAAACCCACCCACAAGGGGGACGAGCTGCCCTCTCCTTTCCTGGCTCAATCTCTAAATGGTACCGGTTGGTGAATAACAAGCCTGGAGCAGATAGCATGTTGATGCGGGCCTCAAGGATGGTCTCACTGAAGGACGCGAGCTAGATTCCACTCTTCTTTTTGTCCCCCACTGGCTGGGTGACCTTGGGCAAGCTCCAAAAGCCCTGGTGCTCTGATCTGCGACCTGGAGCCCACAGCACCAATGCAGCCTGCGGCTGGAGCAGGTTTCACTCAGAATGAGACACATTTAAGGATGAGCGGGTGTCTGTTCCCTACACGGCCAATGTGAGTTATTATTTGAGAGTAACAAGGAAGATTTTCAGTCTTCAAAAAGACTGGACAGCCTCAGAAACCGTATTCCCTTGCCTGACAGTGCTCTAATCACAGGGTGCAGCTGAGTTAACACATGTCTGTGGCTGGGGACTAGGGGTCAGGGGGTTCTTCGCCAGGAAAATAAGAACAGTGTATTTAGAGTTAAAGTGCTTTATTCATGTGGCTTTCCCTTTTTTTTTTTTTTTGGCCGAACCAGGGATTGAACTCAGGCTCTTCTGCTTGCCAGGCAAGCACTTATTCTACTGAGCCATCTCCCTGGCCCCTAAAGTGCTTGATTTAAAGAGCTGGCCTTTACTCTTAGGTCTCAGCCCTAGCAAAGTGTGTGTGTGTGTGTGTGTGTGTGTGTGTGTGTGTGTGTGTGTTTGGAGACAGGGTCTCACTATGTAGTTCAGGTTCTGGCTGGCCTTGAATGCTCACTATGCAGCCCCGGCTGGCTTTGAACCTGTGGCGATCCTCCTGCCTCAGCCTCCACTGTGCTGGGATTACAAGTGTGTGCGACCACCCCGGGCTTGTTAGAACTTTTTCTGAAGTTAAATTATTTTTAACTTCATGAGTGACTAATTACTTAAGCCTTTTAAAGAAGGAAGCAGCCACTGAACTCATTTTCTCACTGTCACACGCGTGCAGGAGGCAGGAAGTGGAGTCACGAGGTCACCGGGTGTTCAGTTACTGTTCACTGGTTCAAAGAGTGAGACACGCGGGATGGTGCGGTGACACATTGGCAAAGTTTCAATAGGGCAAACTTAAAAGACTCCTGCTCTGGGGCCCCAAATTCCTGAGAACCCCTAAGTGCTCAACTGGCCTCAAGACGCTCTTGCCTTTGAATACGACGCAGGCCTGCCCACCTGGAGCCGCTGACAGCTGGTGACAGGAGACACCTCAGGGACCTTTCCGCACGCGTGGTCTTCCGAACCCGAGCGACAGGGGCAGCAGGGGGTCCCGAACCCGGCTCCCGAAATCCTACTCACTGATTGGTCCTCAAGACCGGAGCTCCAGCCAATCCCAAGAGCCCTGGGCGGCGCCTGCCAAGAGGCAGAGCGGGGCGGATTTCTGCTGCGTTTACAGCTCCCGCTGCGCGAGGTCGAGTCGCAGGCCCGGTTGCCTCCGCACGCGTGGGGAGCCCGCAGCGCCTGGCCGTGGCGCCTGGGTCCCCGCTTCGCGGCGGGGAGGCCCTGCCTCGAGCCACCTGGGTGGGCGGACCGGCCAGGACGGCGGCAGAAGCGGGTCCTCTGAGCCCAGGCCGCGGCCAGGGCACGTGGGCGGAGGCCTTTTGTGAAGTCAACGGGTTCTGGCCGCCGGGGGCGCCTGCGCCCCCACTGCGGTGGGCAGGGTTCGTTTAGGATCTCACTGCTGCCCGGCCTACCCCAGGGGACCCCGCCGCGCGCTGGGTATTGTCGCGCACTCTGGGAAAGGTCCTGGGAGCTGGGTGTGGCTCAGCCTGTAACCCCAACATGGTGAGATGCAGAGGCAGGAGCATCTCAAATTGGATGGGGAGGGGTGCTTAAGGCCTGTCTTAAAATAAGGGCCGGGGAGGATGTAGCATAGTCCCAAGGCTATAGGTTCAAGCCTCATTAACATCCTAATTAATCTTTTCCTCACTGGCAAACCCCAGAGTGCAGCTCCGAAGCTGGAGCAGGCTGCAGCCCCGGCGGCTAAGCCGTGTTCTAGAGGTGCTCTCAGGTCTTCCTACCAGCGTCTCGAGGCCTCAACCTCGGGACCAATTCGCGACTGGTGTCCGGCCAGTATCATCCTCTGATCCCGCCTCGCCCACTCATGACGTCGTCACAGGACACCCCTGCTGTGTGCCCAACGGGGGGTTGAAGGCAAGATGAAGGTGAGGCTGCAGGACCACACAGCAGGCAGCTAGCTTTGAGGTGAGGTGGAATTCTTTATTTGTAATAGCAGGATAACAGAGGGAGAGGAGATGATGCCAGGAAGGAAAGATTAAGGAACTGAAGCTTTCTCAACTCAAACCCAGACAAGAAACTGAGCAGCCGTTTCCTGAAATGACAGCAGGATATCTGGGTACAAATCTGTGAGTAACTGGACATCTGGCTTAAAGTCCTGATCTCACTAGAGATGGTGCGGGGCGTCTTCAGGACGGGCTAGGATGGAGCCCAGAGCCCTCTGAGTGCCCTGGGATAGTAATCGGGCTCCCACTTCGGCAAGAGGAGCCTAACAGCCCTCCAGGTTAAGCCAGCATGATGCCCAGTCAGCCAGATTCAAGCAAAGGGGACGCAAGGGCACGTGGGGAAATGGCAGCCTGCCCCTTCTCACATCAGCCAAACAGCAGAGGGAGCTTGCTGTGGAGCCGGGCCCCTCAGAGGCCGTAGTCACAGGCCTCAAGGCTGCCCTGGATGTAAAGTCTTAGGAAATTCTGGTAGGACTCCAAATCCATGAACAGGGCTTTTGCTGCGGGATCTTGCTTCATGGCTGCCATCCAGGACTGAAACTTCAGAGTCTGGGCTGCCCACCTGTGAGAGGAAGGCAGAATGAGGGGTGTGAGCTACTGAGGGGGAGACTCCCATAGGTCATTGCGATCATCTGCAGTTAACCCCCCTTTTTTTTTTTAAATTTATTTGGTACAGGGCCTACAGGGCTCACTACACAGATTGGACTTGTAGTGATCCTCTTGTTTTCAGCCTCCCAAGCTCTAGGATTACAGGCCTGTGCCACCACACCCAGTCTCAATCCCTGTCCCCGCGCCCCCCAGGGGGCGGGGCCAGCACAGCACCCGGGGATCCCGTCCTTGCACTCAGCCTAAGCATGTGCTTTAATCCACTGAGCACTCTGCCCAGCCCTTTCTTTCAACCTTTAAAAATACTTATTTTGCTGGGTGTAGTGGCTCATGCCTGTAATCCCAGCACTGGGGAGGCTGAGGCAGGACTGCAATCCATTTGAAGCCAGCCAGGGTTACAGTGAGGTCAAGGTCAGCCTGATCTACATAGCAAGACACTGTTTCAAAAAAACAAAAAGTAAAATTTCTTTAAGAGCACCTTTAAAATGTGCATAGTCATATGTATGAGATTTGAAAGGTACCAAAGATCTTTGATTCACAGACCACGAATCTGACATGAATGTGAAATGACTTCCTCAGTGTAAACACGTGTCCACAAGGCCAAACTGGTAACTTCACAACAGACCTTGAAAGACATCCAGGAAACTAAGTATCACTCGCTCTATCACCAGATAGGACCCAAAACAGCGCTGAACAGCCCTACTATCTAAAACATGGGAGTAAGTCAACGAGGCTGGCGGCCAAGGCCAAACGGTTTAGAAAACTCTGCTGGTCAGGGGACGGTCACCCCAGGAGGACCCTGTAACAGCACCCTGATGCACATGTGCATCCTCATGGATTTACAGTCCACTTAGAAGCATCTGTGCCACACAAGCTGCTGCCCCAGGAGTGCAAGCAGTGAGTGTGGGTCCCCGAGTGCCCCAGGCAGCCCCGGATGCACCTGTCTGCTGCTCTCGCTCAGGCGTGTTACCTATTTTCATTTCTCTTTTAAAAAAAATGTTCCGCAGGTGGCATTAGCCTGTAGTCCCAGTGCTTGGGAGGCTGAAAATGGGATCACCAAGTCTGACCTGTGTAGTAAGACCCTGCACCAAATACTTAAGAAAAAAGTTCCACATGTCCTACGGCCACTATCACCCTGTAGACACAAAATAGCCCAATGCCTTACTTGTGCATCTCCAGTAATTCCAGGTGCTGAAACCAGGGCCAGAGGAGGTAATCAACCATAGTGGCAGAGTCGCCACCAAAGAAAGTCGTCCTCTTCTTCACCAGGACCTGTACAGCAAACAGCATAACCGTACTGACTCGTGTCCAGACACGGGACGGCCAGCTCGGCAGGGCAGGTCTGTCTGCACACCGCCAAGGTCGGCTTTTGTCTGCTTGATCAGGAAGCTCAAACAAGGCTGGGGGTGTGGCTCAGTGGGTATAGCGCCTGGCTAGGACCCTCGCGGCCCTGGCTCAATCCTCAGGACAAGGAGAAAGGGAAAGAAAGACAATCCAATAGCCTTAGAGTTTTCTGCATAAAGCAAAATAACGAAAGTGGGAAAAAATTTAAAAAATCAGTATAAAAAGCAGGTATTCAGCATATGAAAAGAACTCTAGTGCATCAGTGAGATAGCAAACAACTCAGATAAAATGAGCAATACTTGTGCTTCACAGGAGAGGATGTCTAAATGACCAACACTAGTTCTTTTCAATACTTTTTTTTTCAGCAGTTGTCCAAATGTGTTAATCACCAGCAAAATGAAAAGTTTAAACCAAAATGCTGTCCAACAGAATGGATGAAATGAATGAGACCAAGTTGGCCCTCGTGTGTAACAGCTGCTGGTACAAATGTAAGGTGGCACAGGGCCAGCAAGATAGCTCAGCAGGGCAGCCCAAATAGCTCAGCGGGTTAAAGCACCTGCAAGCAGGCGCAGGGGCTAGGGGTTCAATCCCCAGGCCTGCCATGCCAGCTCCACTCCCAGAGTGAGCTGAGACAGCCACTGAGACTGGGCGTGGTGGTGCGCACCTGTAATCCCAGCTCTTGGGAGGCTGTAAACAGGTGGATCACTATGAGTCCGATGAAGTAGTGAGACCCTGAACACCCTGTAGACCCTTCCCTAAAAATACAAAAACTACAAAAAAAAAAAACAAAAAAAACCACACTGGGGCCTGAACCAGGGCCTTCACGCTGAGCTGTATCACCAGTCTTTTCTTTTCTGGAGCCAGGGTCTCACTAAGCCTGAACCTGAGACCCTCCTGCCTTAGCCTGCTGGAGGGCGAGTACAGTACTAAGTTTTTATCTGCTATCATTCCCAACTACCCTCAGAGTAACTTGAGAAATGAGAGGAGGAAGACCAACTGGAAGGAAAAGGGGTAGACGCCGGGCATGTTACACGACCACACAGTCTGGGAGCAGCGACTACCTCGTCCAGCTTGTTCAACTCCTTCTTCAGCTCCTCTTGCACGTCAGAGCAGTCTTCTTTCTTGTGCAGCAGTCTTATGATGCTGACTCTCAGCGATGGCACCTAGGCAGAGCGGTGTTTCAGTTTATCAGTGTGAGGCCAGGTATAGCGGCCTCCTTGGATACGTGACGAAGCCCGTGGAGCCACGCGTGCCAAATGCCCCTGTCCGGCAAAGGGCTTCCATGACAGGATTTTTTTGGGGGGGGCCGCTCACTTTGCCTTCAGGGCAGGTCTGGTTTGGCTTGAGGATGAGGGGATCACGGCATCCTGAGCCTGACTACTTTGTTTCAGCAGGCGCTTAAACACCTTAGCTAATGGGCAGGCCCCCAGCTTCCATGACAGACAGTTGTGAGAATGAAGATGTGTTGGTTAGGATTTTTCAAGTTACAAATAACAAATCCCACTTGGGTGAGTTTGAGTAAAACTGTTCTTTAAAAGACAGAGTGGCTCAGAATTGCTGGAAGGCTGCACACACACGGGAACTCAGAACATTCCCGAACTGCACCAAGAGGCGGCCCCTGAGAAGGACCCAATGCTCCACGGCCCTCGCGCTGCGGACCTGGCTAGATGCTACCTACCGTCTGTGTCCACGCCTGACAGGAGGAGCTTGGACCCCAGGCTCGGCCCAGCTGGGAAAGGAGCAGAGCAAGAGAATTTTTCTGACTTCTACCTTGGGAAGGACACAAAGGATGAGCCTGAGACAGAAGACCTAGCAGATGCTTCCATGCTTGGCGTGGAGGCACCTCTGCGTCCTAAGACAGCCTCTGAGACAACCTCACGCTAAGAGAAGTCCGCTCACTCCCACTCCTGCAAACATGAAATTCATGACACACCTTCGACGTCCTCCCTGGGCTGCAGGCAGCCCTTCTGGTCGTAGTTCCATTTCGCCTGCCTACTCTTTCATCCCTACTTTTCAAGTACAAGGGATGATCCAAAAAAATCACCCTTATAAAAAGACATACAGTAAACAAGCAAACAAAAAGAAAACCACATTGCCAAGAGCAACAGATAAGTCTATTCAAAGCAAGGAGGAGTATTTTGGTATCCTGAGGGGGATTAATGACAATGTGTCTTTTACTGTAATAAATATTTTAAAATTTAAAATGTTCTGGCTGGGTATAGTTGCATACACCTGTAATCCCAGCACTTGGGAAGCTGAGGTAGGAGGATCCTTGCAAGTTCGAGGCCAACCTGGGCTCCAAAGTGAGTTCAAGGCCCTGCTTAGTGAGACCCTATCTCAAAAAGGCAAAAAATATGAATAAAATGTTCACTATAATTTTTTAGCACACCCTGTATCTTCACCATACTATTTTCTATATATCAGTTCCCTTTCCAATGTTCTTAATTTCTGCTCCCCCTAAAAATGTAATAAGGATTTTTTTTTTTTGCTCCGAATGCCTTCAGGGGTGGTTTGGCTGGCTGGAGTGTTGTGGGGATCGAACTACAGCAACCTGAGGCTGACAGCTTTGCCGAAGCAGCCACTTAAAGAACTGAGCTAGGGCCAGGCCCCTCCCCCTAAAAATGTAAAAGAGAAAAAGGGCCGGGGAGATGGCTCAGGAGAATAAGCACTTCTCTGGCAAGCACTGGGGCCTGAGTTCAATCCCTGGTTCCACCAAAAAAAAAGGGGGGGGGGGAGAATAAAAAAATAGTTTGAAAAACATTAGAAATGATACAAGATTTCACTAAATACAATAATGGGAATTCAACAATAGCTATATTGCATATTGTTGTCTTCAAGTTAGTTGTTCAGATTATCAGATATAAGCATGCAAAATTGGTCGAAAGTTATAAAAAATTAAAAAGGAGAGAGAAAAAAACTGAACCATTAACTGCTCCTTTCAATAGACCAGCAGGAATCAGTAGTTCAATTAGCCAAGCTATCCTGTGTATATACGTATGTATTTCTTCTTTTTTTGAAAATGCCTTCTCAGTGTGGCTTGGGTGTTTCAACTCTCCAGTAATCGTATATATCTTCAAAGCTTTCTTACTGTCGTAGTTTCTGTTTCATTTTTAAATTCCCAGAAGAGCAGAGGTCAGCCAAGCGTGGCAGGGCAGGGGCGGGTACACTTCCAGTCCAGTGAGCTCCGAATGGCCAGTGAGCTCGTGTGTCCCAGCCCCATATTTCCCCCTGAAAGGGAGCGGGGGATCCCGGTGGGCATCTCCGGCCCTACTTGTCATGCCTGCTGTCCTTCCACACAGTACGGTGAGTCTGACTTTCACACTCGCCACATGGCCCATAAACATCACAGGCCCTTCCACCAGCTTGGGCGGCAGCCTCTTCTATGCTCCTGTGCCCTAGTCCTAGTGAACGAGATGGCGCCCTGTGCCTTCCCTTCCCTCTGGAGAGTCTCCTCAAACACAGCCTCCCTAGCAATCCCCCACTTTCTGGTATTTTTTTCCTACAAAAAATATTCCTTCATACACTGTACTAACCGAGGTGGTCTTATGGGAACACAACAGGCCATTGTATCTTTCACCCCACTGTTCTTGGGGTCTAAACACGGGTCTGCTTGTCCTTCCTGTGGTGCCGCTGCTGGCTGCATGACAGACACAAAGGCTTCTCCAGGTGTATGTCTCTCAGAGAGCACTGTGGCGAACACTGCACTCAACACCAGTCTCCGGCTGTGACAGCCACAGCTCACACGAGCAGGAGCCATGTGCCGCAGGTCTGGGTGTCTCGTATCGACTGATGTTTTCCTCAGAAGAATAATGATCATACCTACTTGGATAACTGAAGGCACTGAGAGGTACAGTGAACCACAATCTTCTCCGAGGACACACCGTGAAAGTGGCCGAAAGGAACACAAATATATGCAAGAGGTCACAACACAGCCCTCGTGTACAGGAGATGGGCAGAAGCTGGAGGCCCAACCGGCCTGGCCTCTTCTGTTAGGGCAGGGGAGCACGTGCCCGCGCGCTCGGGGAAGGAAACAGGGCACCTGCTTGCCTGGACAGGAGCCCAGGGGGCGGGACACGGCGACTCCCACTGCTGATGCCTGGCCCAGGTCCAGGGGAATGAAGCCAAGGGTGCCGGTCACTCAGGGTCTTTGTTGAAAGGAGACGCCCGTCCCCTGGCCCCCACTTCAACCTATCCTGTGTCTCTCCGCTTCATCTTTGTCGCCCTTTGGTTGTAGGCTGGCTCCCAACCCGCACAGCCCCGTGCAACACATGGGCAAGACGGTGGCAGTCAGCAGACCTCGGCTCTGACTGGGAGGGACTAGGAAAGCTGGCCTCTCTGGACACACACAGTGAGGACCCTGACAGCGCAGCAAGCTTCTGGGAGAAGGGAGGTAAGACAGCCACGTGAGAAGAGGACGGCGCCAGCGAGCACAGGTGTGGGAGTGGAACCCGCCCAGCGGGGCTGCAGTGCGGGCTCCGGAGAGGCGAGGGGGTCGGCTCGGGAAGGTTCGCAGGAACACAGCACGAAGGACTTCAGGGACATGACAAGCTGACACGGGCATATTCCTCACTGCCTTTTCCCTCCCAAATGGCTGAGCCATAAACAGCAGCAATTAAAAAAGGAAATAAAAAATTTTAAATAGCTGGCATTTCCTATCTATGTACCTTAGAAAATAACTCCAGGATCATCCTTTGGCAAGCTTTCTCATAGGGGTCATCTGGAACCAGCTTCTTCCCAGGAAATGCTTCGTCCAAGTAATCACATATGATGACAGAGTCGCTGATCAACTGGCCCTGGCTGTTCTCCAGCACGGGCACCAAGCCAAGGGGATTCTTCTCCAAGAACCACTCGGGTTTATTTTTCAGGTTGATATTGACGACTTCATGACTGAAAAACAAATACAAGACTGAAGAAAGCTAAACATTTTTTGGTCTACATTTAAACAAATCCTAACCTGTCCTACCATCCACTTAGGAGTCAGTTTTCTTTTTCCTTTCTATTTTTCTTTTTTTTTTTTTTTTAAATTATTTGTATGGGCAGGCCAAGTGCCTGCCTGAGCTTTACTCAGTTCAGCAGAGTAAAGCACCTGCAAGCAGGCACAGGGGCCAGGGGTTCAATCCCTGGGCCTGCTATGCTAGCCTGCCCCCGGGGCGTGCTGAGACAGCAGCAATTAAGACTGGGCGTGGTGGTGTGCGCCTGTAATCCCAGCTCTTGGGAGGCTGCAAACAGGTGGACTGTTATGAGTCCAATCTAGTAGTGAGACCTTGAACACCCTTAGACCCTTCCCTAAAATACAAAAAATAAAATAAAATAAAATTTATCTGTTACAGGGTCTCACTATGCAGTTCAATCTCCTAGTGCTTCTGTGTCAGCACGCCCAGCGCTGGGATTACAGGCACGCGCCACCATGCCTGGTTTCGGTGGCCGGCACCTCAGCACAACACGCGGTACTGGGGATTAAACTCAGGATCTTGCACTTGCCAGGCAGGTGCTTAGCTCGCTGAGCTGGCTCCCCAGCCCGAGGAATCTGTTTTGACACTAGCTTTAGGAGTCAGTTCTGCCATGATTCCTTCCATACTTGTTTTAAGAAGTAAACTTGTTATTAATAGCTCCTGGAAGTGGAATCATGCAATATTCGTCATTCTACATTTCTAACCCATTTAGAATGTGTTCAAGGTTCATTCCCGTTATAACACACTGCAGAATGTCTTTTTAAAATAATGAATGTATGTTATTTTCTTTGATAGGCCTGTTTTGTTTTTTTATTTGTGTGTGTGTGTATGTGTGTGTGTGGCCAGCTCAGCCCACCAGGGGGCGGGGCTGGCTGGCATGTGGTGCTGGGGGATTGAACCGCGGTCCCTGTGCTTTGCTAAGCTTGTTCTAAGTAGGTGCTTTAGACCACTGAGCCATCTCACCAGCCCCTGATAGGCCTGTTGATGGGCGCTGCCATTCCCTACTGCTAAAAATGCTGCGGTGAACATGGGCGTGTTGGTCTCTCCCTGAAATACTGAGGATAGGCAACTGCTTGAACTGCATCCACGACCCACTATGGGAGTCAGTATATTAAAATTCATTTTATTCTGATTGAGTTCACAATGAATCAATTCAGTTGAATCCATCTGGCTAATACGAGTAAAACATCCCTTGCTTTTTGTAAGGCTATTAAAGAATACTAAAAATCCACTCATAAAGTGACTTTCAGATTAAATCTTCATGTATTGATGTTTTTAAGAATGCTGCATTTTAAAAAATCGTTCAAAGTGAAGCTGGGCGGTACACACCTGCAACCCCAGTACTCAGGAGGCAGGAGAGCTGCTGAAAGTTCAAGGCCAGCCCAAATGATACAGTGAGACACTCTCTCAATAAATAAATAAATCACAAGAAGAAATCAGGTGAGACTCGGGCTATATTCTGACTGTAACAAGTCCTACCTTGTATTTTGCTGGAGAGATCAGAGAAAGAGAAAGGAAAAGACCATGTAATTGTTAAAACCTACACTACTGTCCAAGTTCAATCAGTATCCAATAGAACAGATGACTCAAAAGTAATTACACCAAAAGCTTTGTTTCCTATTTCTCCAAGCACAGCAGTAGCTAAAATTCCATTTCATCTCAGGATTTAAACATGTAATCCCAGCTGGGCGTGGTGGTGCACTCCTGTAATCCCAGCACTCAGAAGGCTGAAACACGAGGAAAGGATCGGGAGAATTCAGGGTCATCCCGAGCTACATAGTGAGTTCAAAACCAGCCTGAACTACATAACAAGATCCTGTCTTCAGAAAACAAAACAAAACAAAAACCTAAATAAATATGTAATCCCCCATGGAAAAAAGGAACAGTTTGAAAACTAGTGTGTGTGTGTGTGTGTGTGCATGCGTGTGCATGCGCCCGCGCCCGCACACCCATTAGAAAGTTTATGAGCTGACAGGATACTGGGCACACTCTCATTCCTGCTACTACAGGAAACCAAGCCTGCCTTGAATAATCACTATTTCTGCAGATTGATACTGTGAAAGCCAAAGGTAGGTCCTGGGCTTCTGTGATCAGAAGTGTCTTAGAACACACATGTCTTTTGGTGGCTTGGCGGTTTGAGTCAGTCAACCTGGGCTAACCGGAAGATGTTGGATAGGTCTGCTGCGTCTTCCCCATCCCATCCTGCTGACCTTGGGTGCGCGCCAGGAAGGGACCACCCACCTCCCTGGGCTCCTCTCCCTACCATTAAGGTAAAATACTTACCCATTTCCTTTAGAAATCTGTCCCAGGAAGACAAGAGTTCCTAAAGTTCCAGAGAAGCACGTGACCCAGGACTTAGTACCCAGAAAGCCCTTACATCTGGGCTTTTCCATTTCATGAGTACAAGGAAAGTTTTTTTTAAACTCCACTCGGAATTTCTCTTACTTGCAATAAGAGTTCTAACTAGTATACCTAATATGAATGTTTTATATAACCTTACTAAGTAATTGTGTGTGTGCAAGATCATGATTTGAGGGCCAGGGAGATGGCTCAGTAGAATAGGTGCTTCCCAGGCAAGCACAAGGGCCTGAGTTCAATCCCCGGTTCCAACAAAACCAAAACCAAACGACAAAAAAAAGGATCATGATTTGATCCACAAGATACAAATTTCAGTGAAGTGATAGCCAGTCAAAAACCTTTTTTTTTTTTATGATGCGTCTTGCATTTCTTTTAGAGAGAAGAAAGCAACTTCCTCCTCAAAAGACTAAGACGATTTTACAAACTCTAAGCACAAATGGGGCATTTCTTAAGAACGGGTTGTGTTTTAACCTAGACCTAAGCTTTCTACAGCACAGGCCTCTAACACACAGCTCTACGGATTCCCCTGCTCGCTGGAAGCGACGGGGGTTCCACCTGATCATCCCCGGCCTCTGCGGAAAGCCCAGCCACTGGCCAGGCGTGGAAAACCCAGGCCCGCAGCCCAGCCGTGAGTTTCAGCGAGGCTTCCCGAAAGGAAGGCCCTCGCTGTAATTTAACGAAAGCAGCAACGCAGTCCACGGAGCCGTCCCAGGACAAGGCCTTCCGCATTCTGCGGGCAAGGCCGGCGGGCCTCGGTGCTGAGGGAAGATGCCGCCCACGGAAAGGCCACGCTCTTCGAGCCGGCCCAGAAAGCAGAGGACCAGGTGAAAGGGGGAGTCCGGAGCAGGGTCCTGCCGGGGCTGACAGCCTGCTGCGACGACCACTGCGACTTTCCTCAGGGTCACCTCGGCAAACCTCGGTGTGGCTCCATAAAGTGGATGCAAACGAGCCAGAGCGCAGAGAGGCTCTGGAGCTGGCCGCGTCCCTCGCCAAGCGCCCGCACTCGGCCTCTCAGCGAAGGCCAGGCCGAGGCCGCCCGCGCCCCGCCCGCCGCGCCCCGGCGCTCACCGGATCCCCTTGGTCATCAGCACCAGCAGCACCCTCTGGGCGTACGGGCAGAAGCGCATGCTGTAGACGCGCACCGCGCCCTGCGGAACCGGGCCTGGGGGCGGGCTGCCTGCGGGACGGGTGGGCGAGGGTTAGGCGCAATCCGGGCGCGCCCTGCCCCCACGGGGTCCCCGCGCCCCCGCGTCCCCGCGCACCTGCCGAGAGGGTCCTGGCCGACATCGCCGCCGCGCACCGAGCGAGCTCCGCGCACCGAGCGCCGCGGGAAGCACTGGCCGACCCCCGGCCCCTGCACCGCCGCCTTCCCAACTGCTGCCGGGGCGCCGCCGACTCTGCGCGCGCTGTCCCCCCGCGCCGCGCGCCGGAGCCCTAATTAAAGGCAGAGGGCGCCGCAGGAGCCGCCCACGCAGGGGAGTGGTCCGGAGCCGCCCACTGCCCGAGCGCGGTCTGCAGCCGCCTGCCCCCGCCCGCGCCTTTGACCTTCGCCCCGCCCGCCCCGGCGCCGCCCCCGCGCTCGCCCTGGCCTTGGCGCGGGCGGTGCCCCGCGGGACGCCTCTCTGTCCCGCTCCTCCCCGGCCTGGGCCCTGCGCGCACTCCGCTCCTCCCCGGCCTGGGCCCTGCGCGCACTCCGCTCCCGAGCCCTCCCCCGGGCTCCTTCTCGCTCCTCGCTCCCGGGGGCTCACGGCTGGCTGGAGGTCGTCGTCCGCTCGCCCACCCAAACTGTTTTTGTGCCGGCCAGCGATAGCTTCAGGACTGCGGCGGGGCCCTGCTGCTACGGTTAGCCGTAGGGCAAATTTAGCCCAAAGAAACAGCATAAATTTCAGTGTAACTGATCTCAGAAAGGTAGGGCTGCTTCCAAAACTTTGGGTTTTGAAGTCCTAATGAGAGCAGGGGGTTGGGTGAAAAGGTTTGGCCAGACCTTGGTGCTTGGGAAAAGTTTAAAATCCCCTTTAAGCTCGGGAAACGGGGGTTGGGGACAGGTAATGGCCCATGAAAACAGAAGCAATAACCTGTGCTTGGGTTCTATCATTTGTAAAATGGAATGGAGAGTAGGTAACGCTTCCATCTTAGAAGCTGAGCAAGGGTTAAATTAGTTCATATATAAAGAACACTTAGAACATTTCTTGGCATAAGTGGGTTAAATGATTATCCTTTACATATTTCCACTAAGTAGGCAAGAACTGAATATTAAAATAAAAATATCCCTTTTTGCTATAAAATATTGCCTTGCTTAATTTTTTAAGAAAGAATTGTTAATACACTAATGACTTTGTGCAAATAAATGTGTAAATTTAAACCTGGCCAGCAAATCTTGAATTAGCCACACTAAAACTTTGACTTCAAGGCATTTTAGAATGTTTGGAATGGGCTGTGAGGTTCTTAATCCTGTTGTTTCAACTTCATTAGATTAAGAAACACCTAGCAGATTAGGCTGGGTGAGGTGTTGCATGCCTGTAATCCCAGCCCTTGGGAAACTGAGGCAGGAGGATTGATTCAAGTTCAAGGGCAGCCTGGGCTATGTGGTAAGACCCTGATGAAAAAGAAATCAAACACAAGAAACACGTGGCAGATTATCAGGACACTTCTAGGGGGGCCTGCGTGGGTCATGAGTATGACCTTTCATAGTGTATAGGTCCCCGGGTGTTCCTCTCTGACTCTGTTCTCCTTGCTCGGCCTCCCCGACTCCATGAACTAAGCGATTTGCTCTGCCGCAGGCTTCCAGTTTCCCATGCTATTTCTGTTTTGGAACCTGCCAGTCATGGACTGAATCCCTGAAACTATGAGTGAAATGAAACTTTCCTCCTTTAAATGATGCATGTTGGGTTTTGGGTCTCTGTGACAAGAAAACTAACTACAAAATTGGTACCAGAGAAGTGGAGTATTGCTATAACTGCACCTGACCAAGCGGCTTAGATGGCTTTGGAAATGGTTTGCAGGAAGAGTTTGGAAAACTTTGGAGATGCAGGCTAGAGATGCCCCAGAATATTGTAAATAGTGCCTGATGGGTGGGTCTGGTTGGGGTCACCAGCCTGTTGGTAGGAACATGAGGGGTAAGGGCCAGGCCCAGGAGGCTGCAGCTGGGAGCAAGGGCACCACTGGCAGTTGGACTGTAGCCCCCGGGTGTTACGCTTTGGCAGAATTTTTTCTACATTTTACCCATGTCCTGGAACTTTGTAGGAGACTGATAGGGGGACAGACTAAAGAATCTGGCAGAGAAAATTTCAAAGCTGTGCCTTCAGGCTGTGGCATGGGTACTGCTGGCTGCTTTTAATTAAATATATAGTGAGAATTGGGGGCAAAAGGTGAAAAACACAAATCTGAAATTTTACATGTGGGCCCCAAATGACCCACATGTAAAATTAGATTCTAAGGAGGAATGGGTGCTCAACAAATTGCACATTAGAGAGCAACAGAGTGTTTGAAAGATGCATTGAGGTCATCTTGAAAATCACCAAGACCCACACATCACATGATCAGGAGTGCAAAAGTGTTTGCCTTTCATTGAGAAGAAAGTATCTTGGACACCTCCTGAAGAGGACCTCCTGGAGGGTTGGTTCCCTGAGATTCATTTCCCTGCATTCAGTCGTCTAGGAACTCACAGACCACTTCAGCCATAATCCAAGGGGGCCTGGCTACTGCTCCTCCAGACAGCAAACCTCAGTATGGTCCACATGGTGCTGGTTTTATTGGCGTGCAGAATGTAAGAGTTATTGGATCAGGAAAGTCTTTGCCCGTATTTCAGGGAAGGCCTGGGAAATCAGGCCCCTCAGAGGTCAGTGTGGGAAGCTTGGGAATGAAGCTGAAGGTACTGTGGGAAGTCCAGGAAATCAGGGACTCTGGGAAAGTGGAACACCAGCAAAAGAAAGCTTCAGGACAGAGTGGAGCCCACCCCCTCTGCGAGAGAACTGTGGACTGCAACCAGCAGGGCCACAGGGGCAGGGCTGCGCAAGGCCTCTGGGCCTCACATTTCACCATGTGCTGTGGATGCTGGATATGTACCTGGAGAATTCAATGCTTGCTGGGTTTTGGTCTTTCTTTGATCCACTTTTTAAAATCTCCCTATTCCTCCTTTGGGGGCTCAGAATGATTATTGTGTCATTGTACCTTGGAATTACATAATTTGATTTTTTTTAAATGGAGATTTCTAAGTAAGAGTTTTCCTAGAGTCTCAGAAGAGGCAGAGGCTTAGACTTTTGAAAAATGCTGGAACTCTTTAGACTTTGTGGGAGGGACTGTAGCATTTCCTGTTGTAAACACACAGTGTTAGATAGAATTATGAATTTGCTGTTGCTTTTTGAGAAAGTAAGTATAGTTTAGGGGGATATGTTTCAGGCTCCAGAGCTGAAACATCATAATAAAAAGCTTGCCGGGAAAACCTGCTTCATTAATGGAGTCTGGACAGCAGATCAGGGAAATGGGCTGAGAGAGGAAAGGACAGGAGACCACTTACAACAGGGGTTCTCAAGCCTAGGCCACCCACAGGTACCAAACAGGGTCCTGTTAGGACTGGACTGATCACCAGGAGGTGAGCGGCAGGTGAGCCAAAGAAGCTACATTTTACATTTTCTCCCTGTTACCAACATTACTTCCTGAGCTCCACCGCCTGCAAGATCCATGATAGCATGAAATTTTTTTTTAATTTTATTTTATTTTATTTATTTGAGAGAGAGAGAGAGAGAGAGAGAGAGAGAGAGAGAGAGAGAGAGAGGTGTGTGTGTGTGGCCAGCTCAGCCCACCAGGGGGCGGGACTGGCTGGCATGTGGTGCTGGGGGATTGAACCGCGGTCCCTGATGCTTTGCCAAGCTTGTTCCAAGTAGGTGCCTTAGACCACTGAGCCATCTCTCCAGCCCCTGAAATTTTCATATCAGTGTGAATCATTCTGTGAACTGTGTATCCAAGGGACCTATACTGTGTGCTCATTTGAAAATCTAATGTCCAGTAACTTCAGGTGGAGCTGAGGTGGTGATAATAGTACTGGGGAGTGGCTGCAAATACAGATGAACAGCCGCAGAAGGGCTGGACTGCACAGTAACCATAGGGAATCAATTGTAGACTCATCAGAATCCTTCCAGCTAGTGGCAAGTGACAAGCTGCACCTGAAGGCAGGGTGTAGAGTGGAGAGTTGATGTACTTCAATTGTACAGTGGATGGTGGTGGCAGGCTTTCAGACAGAAACAAACACTTATTTTAGTGGACCCAGCCACTACTTATGTCTCCCTCTCTTTCTTATATGGCACACTTGTCTCAGTTTTGGTAAGCCCCCAAGGTAACCCTAGCCACAATGAGTGACATATGGCATTGGAGAACATTTTTGAAAAGAGGGAACGAACCCCCAAACTAACCTCTCCAAGTCCATGGAAAAAATTATCTTATATGAACTCAGCCTCTGATGACCAAAGGTTGGGGACTGCTGATAGGAAGTACCCAAGGCCACACACATCCAGGAGTGTGCTTTGCTGATAGACTAGACATGTCTTAATCCACTTAAGTGGCTATATCAGCGTTAACAGTCACAACCTTCCTTTTCAACTTCACACACAAACAGCCCTGTACCGAATCTCCTGAAACCATGAGCCAAATTAAACCTCTCCTCATTTTAGTTATGATGTCTGACAGGTTTTTTTGGCAGCACAGTAAAGAGATAGAAAAGATAAAAGAAGCCTTTATTAACTCCAAAGACACAGAGCGGATGGAGGGCAGACGGGGCAGGTAGATCCTCTGGCCTGAGACAAAGAAAGCCGAGGCTCTTACGGACTATTGTTAGGGGTGGAGTTGGAGGGGGATGTTGAGAGATATCTGAGGAGCTGACTGGGGGCTTCCCTACGGCAGCGGGAAAGGTGAAAGGACATTGCACCCTGGGCTGTGCTGGAGAAGAAGTGGGGGTGGTCTCTGGGAAGACAAGCCGTTGTTTCAAGGGCTTCAGCCCTATGGGATGACCACCATAATAATTCAGCAATTCACACGAGGGCCAGAGCCTATCAGTATTGAATATTGTGCCTCAGTGACAGAAAATCTAACTACCACGGCCTATCTACCAATTGGTATAAATGATGTAATACTTTAAGATTATTTAAAAGATTTACTCAATAAAATAAAAATTAAGTCTTTAATGAAAAGAGTTGAAAAAAACGCTCCTCCTCTAGCGACCTGTGTTACTGTTCTGCGTTACAGCAGATCATCCCCAAGCCTGTGTAGCTGTGTGCATAACCTGTGATGCGGGGATGCACAGTGGGGCCGCAGCTCACGACCTGAGTTTGGTTTAGGATTTGGGTGAGGTGGCTGCGTTGCTCTTTGCTTCGGGTGGCTGCCTGCAGTCCTGCTCTCACCCGATGTGGAGTTTGCGAACAGAAGCACACTGCGCCAAGCACTTCTGTGTGTGAGCTGGACTGTTCG